GTCAGTCTGTTTCTCTCCTGATGGAAATACATTAGCTTCTGGTAGTGGTGATAAGTCTATCCGTCTATGGGATGTCAAAACAGGATAATAAAAAGCCAAATTAGATGGTCATAGTAATTGGGTCTAATCAGTCTGTTTTTCTACTGATGGAAATACATTAGCTTCTGGTAGTAGTGATAACTCTATCCGTCTATGGGATGTAAAAACAGGATAAGAAATTAAATCCTCTGATAAAAACTACAAAGATATTTTTGCATAATTTAAGATTCCACTCCAATAACACAGCCATATTTCAGAAGGTAGTATTTATCATCTATCATATTTTTAGCCTCCAATTACATCACTACACTACTTATATGCCAAGAAGCAATATTTCAAGCCAAAGGAGCTTTAATTCTGAAAGGAGAGTTTATAAATCAATCAGGTATTGATTTAAAGACATTGTTTAAACAAAAAGGAAGTTGCTTTTTGGAAGACCTTCAGAAAAAGTGATAATTATTATTCATAAAGAACATTACAACAATTATTATTTAAATTCATTTTTTATATTTTTTAATTATATCCTATTTTTGCTCTATACTTTATTTTGATACTTTATTTTGATTTCTTGAGAATTATACAAGTTTTTAAAAAGTATTCCATTTTAAGAAATGTAGGGTATATTTATTGAGATCTCCTTAAAAAACTGATATTAATTAGCACTTATAGAGATTTAAATATTAAATGATACTACATTAAGAGAACAGTAAATAAAGATTAATTTTAATTACTTAATTGAAAACTAACTTAACAAAAAACTGCATGATTATTTCATAAGATATTCTGATAATTTATTTAATTTATTACTTTTTATAAACATAAGTCTTAATAGATATAATTAAGAATTTTGTAAAATTAATTTATAAATAGTAAAAGATATATTTACTAACAAAGATAATAATAAAAAAGATATGACAAGGATTAAAAAAATAAAGTTAATCTTAGAATATAATCTAAACTATATAACAAAGTTAAAACAATATGATATTGATTAATTTTAACTTAACTCTCAATTCAAGATAATGTATCAATCCCCTGTTAATTTATAAGATATTAAAAAACTTTGAAAACATATGAAAAATATTATATTTTTGTAATTATTAAGATTTAAGAAGAAAATTATATTTTATCTAACCATTTTATATATGAATCTTAATTATTGATTAACTTGAGCACAACGTGAAATTTTACATACATCATATAATAAACAGTTATTACTCAATGTATAATCACTATTGTCCCTTCAAAATGATTTTTTTACAAAATTAATTAATATCTATTCAAAAATAATATCCCTTAAGTCTTTAAAAATTCATCAACTGGTTATATTTTACAATTAAATTAAGAAATTGCACTTAAATTGTAAAATTAAAAAGGAAATAATTATTGGTATTGATAAACACAATGGACAATCTTAATAAAATTTATCTTCTCTAGAACAATCTCCTAAGATAAATTGAACGATAAATTTTTTAAATATATAAAAAGCATTCATATTAATCACACTTAAATGCATGAGTATTTTCTCTTAAATTTCCAAAATAAATTTTTCAATAACATTATTAAAATTTAAAGTTTATAAAATCAATTTAATAAAAATAATAGTATTACTGTTAATTACATATGAGTTGAGAAAATTATTAATTTATGAAATTCAATATTAGAATATATTGACTCTCAAGAAATACGAAGATAGGAAAACCTAGAAATGATAAACCTGAAAGATTTAGTTGTAGAATCTACATTATAAATCTG